TTTTTTTTTTTTTTTTTTTCCGGGGGTTTTTTTTTTTTTTTTTTTTTTTTTTTTTTTTTGGGTGGGAGTGGTGGGGGGCCCAGGACCCACGCAGCATGATGAGACCTGCCGCGCTCGCCGAGCCGGCGCGGGGTCGGACTCCACCGCTTCTAACCGAGTCCGGATAAAAACGTAGAGAAACAGAGAGAGAGAGAGAGAGAGAGAGAGAGAGAGAGAGAGACTTGCTTCGATGCTCATATGTCAGTAATAAGCATGCAATCGGCGCCTTTGCACTTGTTCCCCCAACTTTTGGTGCACCGCTCTTTCCCCACGAGAGCAACCTCCTTGCTTTTGTAGCTTTCATGGCAGCTACCCCCCCAACCCCACTCCTCCTCCTCCCAACCCCGGACCGGGGGTTTGTGTCCGGCTGCATGCGCTCTGACTGCGAACAGGAGAGGAGAGGAGGCAACCTGCAGCAACATGCCAGCCAGCGAGCTTTTCCCCCCCATTCCCCCTTTTTTTTTTTTTTTTTTTTTTTTTTTTTTTTGTAGCTTGCATGTTGTTCTGCGCAGTATGAAAGATTCTGGCAAAAAAAGAAAAAAAAAGGAAAAAAAGAAGCCCATAAAATATAAAAAGGCTGAATGTGGCGGATTGTTCCTTTGCTTTTTGTAATAAGAAAAAAAAAAGACATTCCTGCTCTGTCAGTGATAACAGCGTCTGCACAAGCTGGCTTGTTGTGCGTAATCCAAGTCGTGTTGTCGTCCAAGAAAAAAAGAAGCACAATTATTGATGGATTTTTTTTTTTTATTCCTCCCCAAAGCGTTCAAATGCTTATGTTTGGACCAGGGGTGGCTCTAGAAACTTCTGAAAGCGGCACCTCTTGGGTCAAAGCTGCTAGATTATTGAATTTAGAAGTCGTATTTGTCAAGTTCCCTGTCAAAAATTAAGAGGAAGAACTCGTGTGAAGTCTGAATATTGACTGGGAAAGTCATTCCTTATCCAATATGGCTGCAACATACGAAAACAGTGAAAGTTGTAGGTGTATTAGCAATTAGCAACTGTGATCGTTTCCTGATTTTTCCTTCTAATCTTGCAGCATTCTGACGCGCGTATCGTACAACGTGTGTATTTGTTGTGCAATGAATAAATTGAAACTTTAGCTAGTTGAGGCTAATTCTCTCTTTGCAATGTTTTGTTCTGCTTAGCCAAAGTAGGCATCTGTTAGCGGGCTAACAAGCCTGCAGGGTTGGTCACTGCCCACTCCTGAGCCCCCGTTAGAGTCGCCCCTGGCCATCTTAAACGTGACATCAGGTTGAAGTTTCTCCTTACACATGAGCTGGATTCAGGAGGCGTTTGTGTTTACTCGTAGTTCACGCCATCCTCACCCTACATAGTCGCTCCTGTAAGACTCAGTTCTCACCAGACGCAGGTGTATTATCTCTCGAAACGCTGTGGACAAAAATCACTGACTGCCTCTCATGAAATATTTCAGCAGCTCTCTC